TAATATTGGACCATGGTTTGGTTCTAGACAGACTTAACCATTGACAAGTCACAACTGAGCTAACGTTAGCAACACAGCTGAGCTAACGTTAGCATGCTTAACCCGTTAGCTCTGCTAAAAAAAAAAAAGTTCCGCTGTAAAATAAACCACAGATAAAACAAGTTTACATGTATTAAAACATTTACCACAATTGATATCATGTATGCTAATGTTACCAAGTGTAAACCAAGCTAGTGAAGGTCAAGTTAAAGTTTTTCAAATTACAGATATCATCTGCCTGAAAAACAGTCAACATAGAGACACACAATATCTCATGGAAAGAAAAGTAGGCTACAGCAAAATCATGTTATTGTTATTTTAACTTACCAGAATTGAATCAGCGGAAGATGTCATGAGAGTAACACCTACGTCACTTCCGAGAGGTCAATGGCGAGAGAAAAGTTATCTTTCACCACAATGAAACCGAATGAAACACATCCAGAAGAATGTCATGCAAAGCTGCCTGCCTGCATTCCTTCGATTCTCCCTGAACTGCCTGATCTTTTTAATGTTCAATGTTGACCATTTGTGCAGATAGCATGAAGTAGAAAAGATCGCCGATGCTAATGTAGCGTTAGCGTTAGCATGTCTCCCTGGGGGCATCCGGGCCTAAACGGTGTATTATATAATAATCACACCAGTGTGAAAGTACTCTTGAAAGGGTTCACGAAATACGACTACTACTCTTCTTACTGTTTAAAATGTTGGGTTACCTAATGTTACTTCATGTTAAGGCTAATAAAAATGACAAGGCTAAGGCTGTAATGCTAACTAACGTGCTTGCTACTAGCTAGGTAGCTAACTTGATCCAGCCATTTCTGGTCCTCTCATCAGACGGGAAGCGAAAGCACGAGCAAGACCCATTGCTGGTATGATTACAACCTGGTACAAAGCACACAGGCATCTTGTTAAAGTTATCTTATCTTAGCTATCTCTTATATTTAGTGGAGGAAAACAATTATGACATCACTTACGCGACTGGGATTTGTAGTCTTTCTAGTTGCATATTTTTCATAGTCTTTCAACAGTTTTACAACAAACTGTGACTTTTTTGACACGGAAATTATTTTTTAAGATTGACAAACATCATATTCGTGGCACAATTCAAACGGGATCGAAAGATAACTTTTCTCTCGCCATTGACTTCAATACATAATTTTTCCGAAATAAGGTCCGATGGAGGTCCACCGGAAAGGGAGGGACTTCGCCTCTCTATAACCAGCTTCTGTCCAGTGCAAGAGAACGAGCTAACCGCCGGGATGACTATAGGTCTTCTTCTTCTCTTGTTTAATGCGCATGTGCTCGCCTATGTGTACTTTCATTTTATACTTTAGTCCAAACAGATTATCTGTGTTTGAGCACCTCTACAAATATTCACATTTGAACATATTTTGAAACAAAATCCTTAGTTGAAAAAACATAAAAGGATTTAACTGAGTGGAAGTACAATTATAAATTGGATGAAGTACGGCTCCAAAAGAAAATATCAGTGGACATTTTCTTAGATAGCCAGAAGCAAAAATGCTAATGTTGCTTCATGTCTGTCGGATGTGTTATATTCAAATGCTTGATAGGGATGGGAAAAAACGGTATGTGAGTGTTGTGATTTCAGCTTTAATTGCTTCACCCAAGTGGCTAAAAAGTACGTTTTTAATTGATTGTACAGAATGGCAGTAAAACAAAAAAGTGCCCGACAGTCATTACAAGTTGGACAACGTGGACTTGACAAGCTCTTCCTCGGCTACCCACTAACCAAAAAATAGGTGCAATAAAAAGCTACTTGCCTGTTAAACAGCGACCAGAGTAAAAGACATTTGGGATAATTGTTCAGTTAGCCTAAATAATTACAAAATATTATAAACATAACCTTAAAACCATAATTTCTGTGTATGTTTGTGGATAAACCCATTTTATCCTCCATCATTCTCGCAGCTAACATCATCACTTCAGTAGGCCTATATCACAAGTGTAAGCCTTAAAATAGCGATTCACAAGCCAGCATCCATTATATATCAACAGGGCCTCATTCTTCACACACTCTTGTGTAAATCACTGTACTGTAGCTCTCTTTGGGGCCCCTCTCATCGCAACCTGGTCCGAGACCTTTCTGCGCTAGCCTTGTTGACATTAAAGAAGCAATGTGCGGAGACATTTCCATTCAAGAAACTTGTTGACATAGTTATCAGACATCAAAGAGCTGTGTGTCATTTTGAAAAGGCCTTATGAGAGTAATGGAGATGTTAAAGGGCGTGTTGGCCCCACACATCACAAAAGGATGAGAGGATATGAACACACTTTGACTGAAAGACTGAAAGGAGAGACAGCAAGATAAAAAAAAGGAAAAAGAAAACTGAAATACATTCTCTAGAGAGCGAGGGAAGCGCTCGGCTCCATTTCCGCCTAAGAAGCGCAGAGTTAAAAGGTGGACCCTGTACAAATGAAACTCAATTTCACGCCACATTATCCCTCCCTGTTCTCTTTCCTGGCTTTCATTTTCATTAAGACCAGAGACAATCATAAATTAATAATTACTGCCGAATGTCTAAGCGCAGGCCGCAGTCCTAGCCCTCGCCTCTGTGGTCTTCCATGTTCACGCTTGCAAAATGTTAATTTAGGTAATGTGGCCTGGCCCTTGTCAGATAAAACTGTTTTGTAGTTTCACTAATACATAATGGTCTATCTGATTAGGTGACATTAGTCCTATCTTTCAGACGATCAGCCTGCACCTTCCTAATGTCTCTCCTCAGGCTCGGGGCACCACTCAGTTATCAAGAGACATGCAATATCACTGCTTTCACTAAATGGCCATCTCCTGGTTGTGAAGATGAGCAAAGAATTACAACAGGGAGGGGGATGCTGAAGTACGAATATAACTTCATCTCTCCTGGGTAACTTTTTTTATCCTTTAAAAAAATAAATCTATCGGCAGTGTCAGGATGTTTCCTCAGCTGGTCAAGCAAACACATATCAACAATGTGCAATGTGATGTTAGGCAAACCAACAGTGAAATAAGAGGAAGGGTCATGCGGAATAATCACGTCTGGATGATGTCTTCATGAGCACATCTCCGCGTCAAGCCGAGGAAATAAAGCACACGGCTCACACGGCTTTGAATGTACAATCAGCACTGTGTTTTCCACACTACACTGAAGGAAAATGTAACAACACAGCTATAATGCACATTTGGTATTTAAAGTCTTCGTGCCTCATGGTCATATTTGTACCGAATTGAATTTATTACAAAATGTGCAGTGATATGAAACATGTAGCTGCAGGGCCTCCTCTCTCAGATGCCGGTGCATGGGGGGAAGAAAGCATCAAATAGAGAAATAAACAGAATATCTGAGTAATAGCTGCACACGTCTCACAGGCTCATTGGAGGCGAGAGGAGCGAATCTCTCACTGCAGCAAAAAGAGGGAAAGATTGAGTCATTAAACGCATGAAGTGGACGTAGTGAGCTTAAGTTTCCTGAGAAGCTGCGACAGTCAGCGTGCGTCTGAACTCAACAAGAAGCATGGGTTCATGATTGATTGCCCATTGGGTGTCATATTGTTCTTTCAAGGTTGATTGAAACTTTAACCTCATTTTTAATAAAAAGAGGAAAAGCTTGAAATATATCAGGTCTTGAGTTTTTACAATGCAGCATTGAATTATGCAACAATCAGTTAATTATTCATCTCTGTGGCTGTGTTACGGCCATGCCTTAAAAAGCATGCAGAATGGGAATGGGCCAAGCCTGCTGTGTCAACACATTTCACTCAGAATTGCTTACTAGAGAAATTTGTCTCTCAATGTCGATTTGGTGTTTTCTTATGCGTTTTAAGAGCCGTCCCTGTTACAGCTGTTCTGAAATGATCCCTGTGGATAACCGTCGTGTCTCGAGAGCAAAACAAATAATGTCACTCAAGACCAGTCAGCTCAGATTATAATTAAAAACACACAAGGAGAAATGTCGGAAGTGCCACAAAAACTGACAATGTCACATTTTCAAAACAGAATCATTTGACGTATTCAGCGTTAACAGAACAGCTTGGAAATGTCTTAACAACTCCCTGGAAGCTTCAACGTTATATAAAGAGAATAATATGATGCATGACCTTACAGCATGTACAACTGCTTAAAGGACTGCTGTTTATTTTATGGTGATATATTGTGAATTAGTGTCATACACTTCAAAGTACACAAGAAATAATTTATTTACAGTGAGCTCGGTCACACCCTCATTTACATAATTTATATAGGATTAGCCTATGCAGTTTTTTTTTCTTGAAAACACACTCACACATGCAAGTCAAAGGTTACACACACACGCAGCCACTCAGGGAAAAGGAAAGGTTACACAATATATTCCAATCCTTTGATACCCATACACATTTTTTTGAAAGTGAAGAACAATATGCTCATTTGTTTTCTACAGTTTACCTGCAATGTTTTTTAGGCTATACATAATACATGGAATGAGTTAGGGCTAAATATGCCAAAAACACAATATTTCAAAAATAAAAAAGAGCTGCTCACAACACCTGCTTACATTTCAGAATATTGAAACGTATTAAAAGCTGTATCTGGTATTTCAAATGTTCAGTGTGTGTCTCTCAAAAACCCTCAGCCTTGTGAGCAGAAGTTCGACAGAGGTGTGTTCAGGCAACATTAACTCACATGTGGTTTATCATCAACATGTTAACTTTATTTGAATTTGAAGTACAATGAAGAGATGATTCGAGAAGCTATATAAGTTATCAGTGACAACAGACCTAGACACTCCATTGAGAACAAAAAGAACAAACACATCGTGAACATGGGACACTCCTCCGCTCCTGATTGTAACACATAAGGTCTAAACTGTTCTGCAGTTAAAGGACTGACATCAGCTTATTATGTCTAGAGAATATACACAGGTGTTTCAGCACCAACAATTCAAAAGTGTTCAGGGAAAGTAACAGGAAAATTATAACTTATGTTTTTTTTTCTCATCAGGATATCATGAAACACTCTAGAAAGGAAAGGAAAAGTGTGTACGTTCAACAGCGATTTGAGCAATGTTATTAAATGGCATTCAGTCCGTAGAGTTGTGTCATGACTGATTGTTTCACAAGCTGACACGCGATCATTCGTCTTGATATTTTTTTTTAGAAAAGCATCGAGAGGCGTTGTTTTTGAGTGTGTCTCATGACAAAAAATGTACAGTAAATTCCAAGAAATATTACCTCTGTTACAAAGATTACAGTACTATTGACAGCAAAAGTCTTCATTTTGAAAGTGAAATGTCTGATAGTTATGTTTTTCAAAATCATCTGGGCTGGAGTGAGTCAACCCTAAGATTTGTTCAGCACAATATAGGATTTATTAAATATCATAATTCCAGGACAAACATTTACATGCCTGCATGCTTTCTCACCAAAATGGCAGCTATAGGAAAGAATGATGGCTCAGAAATAGAACAAAACAAACTGTAGGTTTATATAAATGGTGGTATTGTTTGCCTACTAGCTCTACTGCATACACAATACCTCTTAACGTTATATACACATACCTTATCAATCCGCTGGGGTTCGATAGAGTGAGTTCTCCTATCATTATCATCAGATCTTGTATATACAACAATGGTAAAAAGGAAACTTGATTGTATTGTCATCTAATTTAGAAAACATGGAAATCAATCTTCTCTTTTGATGATCACATGGATAGATTCACATTTTTTTTTTCATCTCCACGTGTCATTTTTAGCTTCTCAGAAAAATTCAATTTGAAATACAAAAAACAAAACTTCAGTCCAATCTCTTTTTTGAAGCTTTCTCGCTGGCTGAGATACAGTATAAAAATCTTCAGTGCTGTGAATTTACGAGTTATTACCAACAGTGTACCATGGGTACGTTTTTACTGTGCTCGATATATGTGTTTATCCTTCACGTAGGCCAACCGCTATGTCAACACCTCTTCTATCAAACTACTTAATGTTGGCCTCTGTGAGAAATTCTTATTCTACATTCAGACACAACCTCCTTCAGCATTTGGGTGAACACAATTTCCATTCAACTTCTACAAGCAGCTTGACTCCTTCCCTCAACTAAATCAGCCTGGATAAGGGCTCTTGAGAATCTTCATGGGTTTTCTTTTTTTCGTATTTTTTCGTATTTTTTTGAGTGTATTTCTCCTCCAGCTCTTCACGGCCTTATCAGTACATCACTGTGGTTTTCAGGAACAGTCTTCCATCTGCAACAGAGGACACACAGGAGCCAAGGATTAGCCAACAGCTAACTTCCTGCTGACGCACATGCACAATTCAGGAAGTGATTGTTGATGAAACTTCAAAATGCTGCCCTCTAGTCTTTCACTTTCAGCGGTGTTACTATGGATTCAGAAACCGATTTACGGATAAGATTAAGTTAGCAACCATGACTAATATGATTAAATATCATGCAGAGTCCATTACTTCACTGTATAAAATAAAAACAAGAAATTATAATGGTGTCAGGTAGAAAGAAAATGGGACTAACCATAACACATTTTTTACTTTTGAATTAAGGATCATACACAATACATCAATATAATTACACAGTTAAATGAATATTTCACTACAAACACAGTCCCTTCTGTAAAAGCAGATATCATCACCACTTTCCTCGCATCGGGATTGTGTTGAAGACATCTCTACTGATGTGCTTGTTTGAACATAATACTGCACTCATGATGTTAAGCGCTCTCTAAGTGACATTTCCTGCATGGAAATAGTGTTTATTGAAAACGGCAGACATTCCTCTACTGCGTTATCTCCAGACACCTCCAACCTAACGAGCTTTGTCCATTTCCAGCGAACACTCTTGTCTGAGTGTTCGCCTGAGCGAGCAGTGCTGCTCCGACGCTGAGCTGGTAAAAGCATCTGTTAGGCACAGCTCAGGAGCATGTTTGACGTTTATTACCTTCACATTTCCTCTGCCGGAGAATGCTACAGTAATGCCTTTAAGAAGCACACCTCTCTATGGCAGCGCGCCCTAAATAATTCAATGTTAAAGAGATACGCACACAAAGACATTTAGCAGCGCCAGTTGTTGGACATGACACAAGCAGCGCGGGACAAGAGGAAACGCTTGACTCCCGTTCTGCAGAGACATGAGAATACACCTGGTTACAATGTCTGGAAGTGCTTCTACTAACGCTGGGAGTCACATGTAAAGCACATTATTTTCTATAATTAAAAAGCATTTTTTTCATTATTTAACCACTAACAAATTGTGCTTAATTTAAAATCTGTACTCATTACATTATCAATATTTTATCAATTGGTCCTGTTCCCCCTATTAGCCTGTTTTATATATCGCCGTGCATGCAGAGGAGACAACAAAGGCTTGTTGTGTGTGTGTGTGTGTGTGTGTGTGTGAGTGTGTGTGTGTGTGTGTGTACAGTATGTGTGTTGGGGGGAAGGGGGGGGGGTGTACAAACACACAGGCTAATTACCCAGCACTGCCGTAGGTCTCGGAGGCATTGCACTATGGCTGCCTCTATTCAAGCAACAACCACAGAGTTCTGTGTAAAAGTCATTACAGCATGAATGCAGCGCGATGGAAAAACAGACAGCCGGGAGGGGGCCGGTGGGGGGCTGGTGGCGGGGGGCCGGAGACACACACACACACAGTGCGCTGGGATACACAACTTGACACACACGCGTACACACACCTTAATAAAAAAGAGCAGATGAAACATCACAGGCTCACCTCGCAGTCTGTCTACCTGCCGGCCCGGCTTCACAGTTGGAGCAGTTTGTAAAGGGTGTTAATGAAAACGAAGATTATAAGACGGATGACGACATTTAACACGTTGTCGAGAGCAGCTTTAATATTGCAGCATTTTGCTTCTAATAGATGAAATTATAATGAAAGACAGGGAATGAGTGAAGAGGTCTGATAAGCTAATCTCACTGCTTCAATTCCTTCTTTTCAAATCGGCGCGCAATATTCATGCAAATGTTGAAACATCTGCTTTACACACATAACTAGAAAAATTGGTGACGTCCTGACACATTGTTTTATGAAGGACCGCCTCATTAAAATATGTTAAAACTTTAGTATTTTTATATTCAAATCAAGATGAAAAGTTCATTAAAGAGAATAAATATTTCATTAGATGCTAAATAAAACAAAGGGAATTTTTGGCTTCTCTCAGCATAAAATTCCTTTGAAAGATTAATTAATACATGTAAATTATGCAAATTATGCCCATGCAAATATTTTATGAAGACAATTAAGGGATCCATTAATTACAGTCTTTTTTGCTTCAGTGACATTCATTCATTTAATTTTAATTTCACTTTAACTGTTTTGATGTTTAATCTTGCAACAAAGAACTTTATCTCTGTGCACAGGGTCGTGTAAACTCGCCGAACACACCGAGTGGCAGGCGGCAGGGAACCAGGAGAGATACTGGGGGAAGATATTCACATGCGCACCGTTGCCAGGCAGTACTGGCGAGGTGCAGTCCCAGTAGCTCTCTGCCTGTGAAAAGAGCCACGTTCCCTCTTGGACGCGATTCAAAACACTGTAAAAGCAATTAATAAACACAGACTGTGTTAATATCGCAGAATTAGAGAAGTGTGACAAAAGACAAATAGAAATAATTAGTTCTCTAAAATTATGCCCTCATTATTATTTTTTTCTTCCCTCTCCCTCTCTCCTTTCAGCCTCCCTCAGTTTGGAGTTGAGAATATACCCACACATTTCTCTCGGCTTTCATGCGAGTGATAGGCTTGTTTTTTTCCTTCTGCTTGTGTAATTTATCAACATCATTTTTTGCCATTTGAGGTTAATTATACAGCGAGGCTTGCGGAGTAGAGCAGGGGAGACATGGGTGGCAGACAAATGCTTCTCTAATTGAACAAAAACACAAAATGCTGCCTGTTATTCAGCTCCCTCCTTCATCCCACTCTTCAAGGCGATGATCAGAGTGATTGAGACCGCAGAAATGATATGGCTGCTTTGTGCTGCTCCTAATAGGGTTTCGATTTCTTTCTAAAAAAGCAAAGAAAAAGATCTGTGACTGTACATTTAAGCAGAACAATGGCCGCTGTCGCTATAATGTGAAGATTCAACACGTTTAATTTCATACAAAAGCCCCACAAAAGGACCAGCTCTTCAAAGAAGTGTAAAGAAATTAAAGTGGCTAAATGTACTAATTTGGGTATGAAATAAGGGGCTATAATTACGCTGTATCTGCAAGTTATCTTTGTATTTAAATGATGACATATGGATTTCCTTTTTTTGGACATCAAACTGCCTCAGATCCCCACAGTGACTGAATGACATTTAATTACGGAGGAGTCATCGTTTCTCTCTTTCTTTTTGCCCTTTCACAAAATATCAGTTCAAGTAGACCAATCAAACATTAGAGAGTTAAAGGGGACCCAACTTATTCCTCGCATACAAAGAGGAATATTTTCCACTTTTCACAGCAAATTACACGGAGCATTTTCCCAGATAAATTGGGACCCCTCCCACTGATAAGGGCGGTTGTGAGCACACGCAGCCGAGGCGTATTAAAGGGAGACGTCCGAGTAATAATGAGGATATTCAACCTCTGCAAGGTGTCTTGTATCTGGGTAAACACAGATAGCAGACAGTCTACAGAGGTTATCAAGAGCGCGCCCTTCCCCAAACACATACTGCACCCCCAAGGCTAACAAACAAACAAACCATTAAAAATGTACAAGGCTTATTCATAAAATGGATTGATTTGCCCCGTTTATTACTATCAAAGGGGGGATTCCAGTGCTTTTTGTGGTTTTATGACTCATTAATGCTTCCTGAGCTGTAAACAAAACACTTCTGTCTTTCTCTGCGACATTCTAGCCGAGGCTATTTTATCTACTGCGTTGTACGGGGTTCCAACAAAGATCTGAGAAAGCTTCACCAAAGCCTCTAGAAGTCAAGTTAAAAACAATATTATTCCAACAGAAAAACCAATGATCTTGACCTAGTGCTGTGGCCCAGATGGCGAGCTGTATGCCTGAACAGCAGGCACAGAAACACTAATGTTCATAAAGTGAAGCGGTGTGTGTGTGTGTGAGGGGGAGCGAGAGAGGAAGCGAGGGGTGGGAGAAAAAGAGAGCAAGAGTGAGAGCCAGAGGAAGAGAGAGAGATTTATTGTCTCATCTGAGCCCCTGTACCTTGTATTGTCCTTTCAGCATCTGTTCTTCCACTGCTGCGGTCACTCTCCATCTCAGGGGTCAGAGAGTCTGCGAGGAGAGAGGGATCGCCGCCGTTAAACATCCGTGACATCAAGCCATCACAACGCCAGCTTCACAGCATCGCTCATTCAAAACAAGAGACCCAGCCTTCAAGCTATATCTCTCCATCGCATCTACCTCCATGTGTGCATGGGAGGAACTACGCTTAACACTAGTGGAGGAAAAGGAGCTCAAATCCTTCATTTAACACTTTGGAATATTAAAATCTAACCCCGCATTCAAGTGATTGTTAAGTCCGTCAATATGTCAAAGGTTAAATTGTACTAGCACTTTTGCAACTGGTCTTTTAACATTGTATTGTGAACTGCTGCTGGCCACAAACGCTCTTAACTTAAACAATCACTAAAAATGACTTGACCGATATAAATGAAAAAGTTTGTATACAAATGATCCCATTACTCTTTGTCGTATTTAAACAATTTTTTTCTGACGCACTGGGTAGTTTAAACTCTGACAATAAATCATGTGTGATGAGCTCATCGTGTTTTGTAATGCCTCACTTTGCAACTGAGTAGTAACTCCTGTCAGATCAAAATAATGAAAAATACTCTTCTTAACTTTAATGCTTGGATATTTGGTCAGTAACTTTGTATTTCTATTAATAATTAAACTGTCAAGTATGCATTACAGGATTCGACAATTATTAATCTGCAAGTTTGTGGATGATTGATTGTTTGAATTATTTTTTGAGCATTCGTTCCACTTATTTTTACACTTTTTATAGCATTCTTAGGTTTTGGGATATGGATGTTAAGAAGTAAAATCAAGGCATTTGAAGATGTCACCGTGGGCTTTTAAAGAAATATAATCATAGTTAGACATTTCACAACGGAATAATCAAGACACACTATTTATATAACGAAGCGTTATGAGAATGGAAAGCAGGGATGAACACAGGGCTCTTACAGCTCAAGGCAAGTTAGAGTTAAGACTTTTTATGAAGCCGCTCGGAATTTAATTTAAGACCAATTTCACGCACTATTTTCCGCTATCTGGATCTTCCTGATGAAAATGTGCACTTGAGATAAGATACAGCGCTCACAACAGCTTTTCATTTAAGGCTCGTGATAAGATAACAGTCAGCATGCAAGTTGGTTTATTAGTATTTCTATAATCAAGTATAATAGAGTCATCTATGACGTCACAATATTTGCTTCAGGTGACTTTTATGTCCTGAAAAATCACATTTTGAACTGACTGATTGTCATTTTTTCTCTTATTCTGGCCCACTATAACCCTGTTGAGTGTGTGAAAGGGAAATGTTTAGGATTGTGTCTCACTGTGGAAGTTCTGACCGTTGAGGGAGCGCATGCTGTCGGAGGGCGATGGCTGCTTCATGCTCTGCTCCACCTGCTCTCTCCTCTTGGACTCATACTCCAGAGCTTCTTGGAGTTTCCTCTTGGCCTTCTTCTCCTTCTTCAGACGCTTCTGAATGATTGCTGCGAAGGGGAAAGTCCACAGTGACAATGAATGAGCTGTAGGGCAAATGAGCGTAGCCTTTTTTTCTTTTTTTTGGCAGAAATCTGATTACTGTAGCCATCTAGCAGGAAAAGATAATAACCACATTTCAAAAAAATCTAGCACACTATAATAGAAAAAAGGGAAATCAATTAAAGCTAAATATTTGATAATACATAAAGATCCTCCTTAATAAAAGAAAATACCGACTGCGACTTAACAAACTGCTAGAGGGAATTAAAGCAAATTGAAAAACGTATTGGGATATTTTTCATGAATTTCTCTCATTAAACATAAACGACACAGTTAGCATGAGAAGCTGATGCATTTAACATGAGAGTGAGATTTCTCTAAATGAATGTGTATTACCAATTATGTCAACTGACTAAGAGCAGGGAAAGCGGCGCTAAGCAGATCACAGCGTGTCCGTGCGCGTGTGTGTGTGTAACCAAAGAAACGCAGTCGAACGTGTCACTGTTGCAATAAGAAACATTAAACATACATGCAGGAGCGGGGATGTACATTCAGGCGCTATCACATCTACATGAGCATACGCCTGTGAACTGCTGGGAGAACACACACATACACACACACACACACACACACCACACACACACACACACACACACACACACACACACACACACACACATATATATATATATGTTTATACACAGTATGTACACACAGATATAGGTAAGGGAAGGAGAGAGTGATGTGGGCTATTTAAGAGCTTCAAGAGGAAGTGACAGCAAACCCCATGGAAAGTGTGTCACAGCAGCTCCTCACACTGCCCTCAGTGGTGAGGCAGAACTCAGGGACTACAACTGACTGCTGCTACATGATGGCTTTCAGGCATATTACCACCTTTGATGGTGCTAGTGAATATGTTTTTAGCTCTTAGCTGCAACACAACTCCCACAAGGTCTAGGAACATGAGCTTAGATCTCCCAAAGTTTTGTAATAACAATTTTTTTGGATAATTTGAGGGCACTGGGAATTTCTGACACTTTTTGGACAGAGCAAGATTCAAGGCTTTTATTGTCATTTGTACATTGCTACAGTGTAGATATGTCAATGAGAATCTTAGGTCACAGACAAAATAGTTTGTGCAAGTAATCCAAATAAAATAGAATAGAAATAGTGCAAGGACATTCTTTATTCAAGTAATTGGAATATGATATATTAGATAAATATGTAGATAGACAATACATTTTAGAGGTGAACTGAACTGAACCAGACAGAAGCTTGATAGACACTAGGGGTTAAGATGGAGCTCACCTATTGGTCAGAGCTCCACTCTGCTAAGTATAGGTATTTTTATTCTACAGACTGGATCTGTACATCTTTATGTTCCTAAACTATACCTTCTCTTCCCATTTACTACACAGCTGACAATTGTAAATGGATTGGTATTGATATACATGAGTCTCTGTAGCACATTTCCAAGCTCCTCACACAGCACACCAGGAATGAATAATATGAATGACAAGTATCTCATCATGTATCAATTACATTACTGCCATTCCAAATATACTCCTGACATTCCTAAATTGAAAGTTGCGAGACTGCGTTCTGGTGAGAAAAAGCTGCTCGGCCATTTTCATCACACATATTCCCCATCCACATGCAATTATATCGAATGCACTGGGCTATATCTTACTAATTGTTGATTCTTCTGACCCCAATTTACTCTAAGTTGCTTTATCTTAATTTTCTGCTTGGTTTCATTTTGTTGATTTGTATATAAATATCCAAGGCGAGGATCATTATCAAAGATGACTTAGTGGAGTGTTGGGAGCCTGCAACGAGTTTACTTGTGACTTTCTAATTACCACACAGTCAAAGGAGAAGAAGGACTCGGATGCCACCGGTACGAGTGCAAGGAGAAGGGCAGCAGAGTACACACATCATTACACTCAGACAGAAGGCAACACATTCATCTTTCTGACTGAGGGGGGTGGAGCCGGAGCCTAAATAGCACTCTTGAGTAGACAGGTATTGTTAAGATATGCAGATTCACAGTCCAGTGTGAATTGTAGTCCTGATGTTCATGTTACTGGAAGGACGATGTGGGTGACGTCCACCTTTTTGACTAAACATTTTAAATTGGCAATGACTTTTACTCACATCTTCTAGAATGGAAATCCTTGAATTGTTGAAAAACTATTGCTGTTAAAAACACCTGCTTAGTTTTATGTTCGGAGATAAAGGAAGTCTTTTTTACTGATTTAGTCCTGAAGCCTTCACGACATAATAGATAGGCATTGTATCGCTAGATTTCTTAGGAGCTTTGGAAATAATTTCACCCTGTTTCTTTTTACAGTAGCGGATGGAGTTTGCTCAATTATCAAGGACAACAGCTGCTTAGTTCTCAAGTTAAGACTCCAAGGTCCAAAAATTGCGCAGATAGTTCTCATTCATAACACTCCGTTCGATGTCTCACTATGGGATGCGCCTCATCGCGGAGCAAACAGAAGCATCAATCTCATTACGCCAATCCTGATTGGCTGGTGATCTTGACGTCAGCGTCAGGGAATCCACCCACCCTATAAGTAGCTTGCGCCACGTCGCAGCGTCATTCAAACACCTCTTCTCGCTTCAGAGCACATCTCGATAGATCGGTAGCCGGGCTAGCTTAACAGTCCACAGACTGAACCCAAAGCTAACTTTCAGTCGACGGGCGCTCGCCGGCTACTTTTCTGCTTCGCAAGAAGACTGTTAATCTACCTCGCCGTTTCTTTCTTCGGAAATAAAGGTAAGGTTTTGATTTTTCAAGCAGACTGCCAAGGCACACANAATCTACCTCGCCGTTTCTTTCTTCGGAAATAAAGGTAAGGTTTTGATTTTTCAAGCTAGTAACACACCTGTTGCTAGCTTGCCTTCCCTCACTACCGACACCACGGTAGCGAGGACGTTTTTTCTTTTTCTCTCTCACACCAGAAGAGGGGAAGATAAAAAGGTATTAACACAACAGTTAATATTCTTTGAGAATAAAATTCTACACCGTCGCTTTTTCTCCGGATTAACGACAGGTGGGGAAATAATTTTTTCTCAGCAACGTACCTGTTACGAGCGGGTCCTCTCCACGCCGTCACCACGGCGAACGAGATGGACGCTTCTCTCCCTCACACCAGAGGAGTCAGGGACTCGGAGGCTCGGCTCTGCGGCTGCGGGTTGAAGATATCAGGCACAGACTCACACCAGGTCTGCTCGTCCTGCCTCGGGCTGGAACACGTCCAGGAGGCTATCGACAACCCCGGCTCATGCGGGCATTGTGCCCGCTTCACCATCAAGAGCCTCCGCCGACGGCTAGCACGCCAAGCTAGCTTGTCGGGACAGGACCCCGTCATGTCCGCTGTTTCGCCGGCCGGCAATCAAGACATGGGGGCGTCCACCGCAGTAATTGAGCCCCGCGCTGTGTCAGGCTGGGGCTCAATAACAGCGGCAGCCGCTGAACCGGAGCCCCGCGCCGTGTCAGGCTGGGGCCCGGTGGCGGCAACAGCCGCGAGAGCGGAGCCCCGCGCTGTGTCAAGCTGGGGCTCCCAACTGGACCTCACCATGGTCTCGCCCGCGGAGGATGTCCTGGAGTTGGACTACATGGAGGACGAAGAGGATGCCTCTGAGTTCCTCCTGTCCGACTCGGATGAGCAAGACGATGATGTCTTCGTGTCATCAGCTCAGGCTGCAAAGCCGGGAGCGATGGCTGCTCTCCCGGGCGATAGCGCACCAGCTTCGCCCTGTCTGAGCATGGACCTGCAGGCCGTGTGTCAACGCGCCACGTCCAGGCTGGACATCCCATGGCCTGAAATGGCCAAGGAGACCTCCAGGTCTCGCTACGAGGGGAAGACTTTGCCCCAAGCAGCGAGGACAAAGAGGCAGCTCCTTCCAGTCTTCCCGGAGATGCTGGATGAGGTGTCGGTCTCATTGAGAGAGGAGAGACGGCTTAGGCGTGGACGGGGCGTCGCGCAGCGATTGGCCGCTGCCGGTCCTCGCTGTAAGGCGCGTTTGCGCACCGCTGGCGCTGATAGCGCTCCAACAAACTCCCCTGGCCATGAGTGAGGGAACCGGCGACCCATCACAATTGATCCTGATAGCTCCGCCAGCTGGCTGCCAATGTACTGGCGGCGGAGATATATCGGCGGCTGCTCGCGGTCAGTCGTGGAGATCCGCTACCGTTCAGGTACATAAGTGTCTCAATGCCAGGGGTAGCGATCTTTCACCCTGAGACACCCGGAGCGGATGGACCGTACTGGCCATGGGCGGACATGTTATCATATGCGTGAATACCAGTGGGGTCATCATAGCGCAGAATAGGTGAGTAAACCTATTCAGGGTAATTTCTCCCCAAAATTTTTTTACTCCTATAAACAGCCCACCAAAATATTTTCCCACCAGAGCCGCACTGACGGTATGACTTGGTCACTTGAGTGAGTGGCGTTCGGCGCAAACTCACGATGTTTCGAACGTCTTTATATGTTCGTGTAAAATGCAGCGAGCCGGTCTAGACGCCGCGAAGTGCCGCGACGTGCGCGCAAGTGCAAAACAAGGCTGCATACATGAACATTGGGCAAATGGCACATTTTGGAGATCGGATAGAGCGACCGTTGTAGATTTTCGACGTTGTTTCCATCGTAGCTAAGTTTAACAATATATCCAGTCATACATAACATTTTTCGGGAGTCTCTTGAATTATTGAAATAAAGTTTGCATATATTCACTAACTAGTGCAATATTATTCCGTACATCGTGTTAAAAACTATTCCATTGATTAATTGATTATCGCGTGAATGTTTTAGCACGTAAATGCTTTCGGTTTAAAACCAGTCCGACCTCGACACAAAACCATCAACCAGCTTGCATAGGATTAAACATGTCAACACTCACTCACCCCGTCTTAAACATTCCCAAAGAATGCCTCTTGTCTCTCGTTGTGCTGGATGAAGTCACTGGCGACGATGTAAACCCAAAATAGTCCCCAAACAGGCGCAGAGGCATTTTTCTTTTTACTTAGTTGTCCGAGTTCGGGGCCGGCAAAAACTGCTGCCCGCCATCTTGCTCAGCTCAGCTTCTGTGCTGAGCTCTGAGAGCGGGAAAGAGGACTGCCCTCTGCTGCTGGCGCGTGCTGTGGCCATTCATGTCTGTCCAAAACTCCTGTCAGTGTAATAGATGAAACGGATCTGGATTTGGAGCACAGTCTGGTGACGTCCGGTATTGAAAACATACCGACGGTATTTCCAAATACCCCTGGTATACCGTAATACCGCATACCGGCCCAAGCCCAGTATTGAGAGGCTCGGCCTGCCCCTGCATACCGCCCATTGAACCGCTGGTGCAGCCACCTCCACCGAGGCCTGGCTCCGACACCGAGTCAGTGAACCCCACGCTATCGGTTAAAGGCAGACCGGTTCCAGTCGCGATGAACGGAACAGGCCTATAAAGCCGCGAGTGTTGTCGCCAGGGCCTCAACATACTCACTGCTGACCGCCTACCAGGTGGAGCTCTGCGAGCGACCTTCGACGCAAACCCTGGGCCGGGCCGTGTGGGACGAGATCGCAGGCGATACCACGACATTTGCCTCTGTGTGCAGCGCTGTGCAGTCCAGCGCCAAGTATGGCCATAAGGTGGTACAGGAGAGAGGCCAGGTGGCTCAACCTGACCAAACCTCCCACGACGGGCGAAAAGGAGGATGTTCTCGACGCCTACTCGTTCCGAGGTACTTTCGGCTCGCTCTAGTCTCTTGCCGCCGCGAGATGCTGAGTCGAAAAGAAGAAAGACAAGGCCCCACCCTCTGGTTCCAAGGGTCGCCACTATGACGGTCTCGCGCAGTCATTCGCTCCAAGTTCCCTCACGTCATGCCCGGTTCAAGAACGAGGCAGATAGATGCCAACAGCCCGCCCCGAGTCCCCAGCCAGGCCAAGGAGACGAGGCGCGAGCTGGCCGAGAAATCCCGTTCCGGCCAGCAGCCGGTTCAGGCCTAGCCGACCCAGGTTTCGGCCCGCCAGACCCGAGGAAGAAGGAGCGCGCTGGACAGCCTCCTCTCCTCTCCTCGTGACAGAGCTGGAAGTTCCCTGTTCCCCAGCTCCAGATGTTTTGGGGGTCGCGCACCATGCCGATCTTCCGCGCCTCGTGAGCCAGAACGTCATCCAACTTCCGCGCCAGAAGGGAAACGGACACTTAGTGCCAGAGACAGCCGAGTCTGCTATCTGCCCCTAAGTCCCAAAACACATGTCCACAAATACCATTGTTTTCAATAAACCCATTTTCCACTTCGCATCCCGCTTTGCGGTAAGAAAGGCAAAACCTCCATAGTGTCATGTTCCTTTTGAGACGGTTCTCAAAGCGCGATAACAGAGTCTGTGAAGCCCACCACGCGTATGCGCAGTGGTAGGCTGGTGGTTGTCAACCGGGGCAGGAGTCAATGCACGGTCTGATTTTCAAAGACCCGCACCCGCGACGTGCAATACCGAACCCGCCCCGCTACCAGCACATATGCCAAATTAGTTCGCGCAATCCGACCCGACCCTCGGCACAGGATCCGCAACCCGACCCGACCCCGCATATATATGAGCAGCTGAAAACGTGCAATTATTAACCACGCATTGCATATTGTCTAAAAAAAGCGTGGGATGTTGGTTATTTTCTGCATCAGGATGAACCCAAAATCGTCCCCAGACGTTGGATTTCGCCTTGAAGGAAGTGTTATTGAAAATGCTGTATTCTCACAGAGAGCTTTCACCTCAGCCATTTCGAATGTGATACCCTCAGAATCTCT